CTCTCCTCTAGACATCCCTTTGCTGAGTTCATCTTCCCTAGTCCCCCTCCTTAGCCTGCTCCTGACCCTCTCCCCACCAGAACCCCCTGTTCTGGGGGTTGTACCCCAAGGTGGAAGGGCCAGGCCTCACCAGGGAGGGATTCGAGAAGGGTTGTCCAGCTGCTTGAGGTTGAAGGCATGCTTAGACACCTGCCGTACTTCCCCATCCCAGGCCTGCACCTCCTGCTTGCGGAAGGCTGAGTCAGCCGACAGTAGGGCCTCCACCGCACTGGTCACCTGGGGGAAGCAGAGGGTCAGAGACGGTACCCAGCCCTCCCCTGTCCCCTGCCCCTCTAGCCCCTCAGTCTCCAGCTCTCCCGGGGCTTGCCCAAGACATCACTGCTCGGGCCCCACTTGCCCTAGAGACCCTGGTAGGGTGGGAAAGTATTCGTACCCGATCTCTGACGATGTCAGGCAGTCCCCCCAACCCATCCCGGGCAATCTCCAGGTAATCCGGCAAAATAACAATCTTCACATCCTCATCATATTCAAACTTCTCCTCGCTGAAGTCAAACCCGCCTTCCATGCCTGGTGAAACAGGGAAGAGGAGGGAGGGTAGGACAACCACCACAGGTAAATGTCCCTCCTCTGATACAGCATCTCACTGTGGGCCACTGATCAGGCCCATTCTTTTGGGGCTTTCCTAGAACGTCTAAGAGCGGGGAAGACCAGCTCAGGAAGAACAGGACTGTGATGGTGCTCACCAATAGCCAGCCGGGTGGGCTTCTTGCGGGGGGGGTCTCCCGTGCTTGTAGTGGTGTCCTCCTCTTTCTGCAATGACGCAGGAAGGGCCGGGATCAGCAAATGGGGAGGACAGATAGGACAGAGTGGGTTAATCTTAGAAGGGAACGGAGCTAAAAAAAATGGGTGCTGAGTTCTAATGATACCAACAGAAATAGGTGAGGGGGAAATTGAGGCCAATCGGAGGTCAGAACAGAAGAGACAGATTCAAAATGGAGGCCCAGGGGCCTGTGCCTGAATATCCCCAGGCCCTGCCCCAGCCCTGTCCCTACCGGGCGCCGGGTCCTCCGAAGGTGCAGGTAGACTCGCTGGCCTGTCTTGTTGAAATGTCTCTCCACATACTGTTTCCCAAAGCCCAGGAATGTGTTCATGCAGATGTAGAGGCCACCCTCAGACTCCTGCAGTACAAGAAGAAGCAGGGGAGAAAACACAGGGAGGATGAAGCCTGGTGGGGAAACCAAGACCTAGGGCCAGACACTGCTGGTTTCCAAAAGAAAAGCTCTGTTCTTCAACACCATGTGGCTCTTGGCAGTCATTTAGCCTTTTAGGACCCAGTACATGGCAAAAATTTTCCCCATTCTCCTATGACTTTGATAACAACCAAGGATACCAGGGGCTGAGCAACACCTGTCAGTCACCACTCCTCTTCCTTCTTGTTCCTTCTTTGGGCTTTGGAGCCTTCCAATCAATTATAGAGAACTCCCTTTATCTCTTTTTTTTAAGATTTTATTTACTTGAGAGAGAGAGAGTGCGAGCACACAAGCAGAGGGAGTGGGAGAGAGAGGGCAGGCTCCCCACTGAGCAGGTAGCCCAACAAAGGACTCGATCCCAGGACTCCGGGATCATGACCTGAGCCAAAGGCAGACTGAGTCATCCAGGCACCCCCCTTTACCTCTCTCCTTGAGGTAAATGGGAATCAAATACCATGGACTTCCAGTGCCAGTGATTATATTCAGAGGGAAAAGGGGTCCTTTCCTTGGAGAAGAAAGGCCTGCATGTCAGACACAGAACCTAAACCAGGGACACAATGACAAACCCTGCCTCATCTCCAGGACTCAGAAAACTTTCCGGACTGGAGGAGCCGAGATTCTAAAACTTGAACAATACACCCAGCTCCTGAGCTTGCCAGCAAGCCCAGACTTTTCCTTTACCACACCCTACTAGGTCGTCAAACCTTGGTCCACGCTGAGGCTTCTCCCTCCTTTCCTGCTAAAGCCTGGCTCCAGGGTAACAATGCCTTGTCTGGGGGCTCCTGGGTGGCTCAGTCGGTTAAGTGTCTGCCTTCGGCTCAGGTCAGGATCCCAGGGTCCTGGGATTGAGCCCCGCATCGGGCTCCCTGCTCCGTGGGAAGCCTGCTTCTCCTTTCCCACTCCCCCTGCTTGTGTTCCCTCTCTCGCTGTGTCTCTGTCAAATAAATAAATAATCTTAAAAACAAACAAACAAACAAACAAAACACTGCTATACCTGGGGCTGGGGCTCACTGCTATACCTGGGCCTAGTTTGACAGAGACATGAAGACCAGCATTCTCCAGCCACTACCCTGCTGCCTCCCTTCTGACCAATAACTAAATCCCCACTGACGTCCATCAACTGCCAACCTCAAAGCCATTCCCTCTGTAGAATAATCTAGCAACACCTGCTAAGACAGCTAAAATACATATAACCCAGGAAGAAAACAGGGAAAGACAAGGGTCCACCCTTAATCACGGCTAAGGAGGGAGGATGAGCTTCTCTAAAACAGAACAAGTCTGCCAGTGCCTTTGTGAATAGTGATGGATAAGGTGGAGGAGATAAGTGGAGAAAACAAGAGTCTTCCCTCAGATCCAAGCAACGACAGGCATCTTCTTCCTTGAATAAACGTCTCAGTGGCCTTGACAAATTCTCTGCTGTGATATGAAAAATAGGGCACTGTCTAAGGCAGTTAGTCCTTGGTCCCATAGATTGCTCTGTACCATTCCCTAGAACAGTGTGGATTACAATGTTGATGAGCAAATGGAACATTTTTCATCAGGGAAGTCAAATAAGCTCTCTTCCACCATGAACCCAATTTGAAGATAATCAAACACGCTGGTAGTTGGTTAAGAAAGCAACTAAGCCACACTGGAGATCTCCTGACTTGGGATGAGAGAAGGAAAGTATAACAAGCTTACAAAAACACCATTTGGATTATTCGAAGCAGTTACCAAGGAGAGACAGACAGGAATGTGAAGAGGGAGCCACTGACTTCTACCGTCTGTTGGTAATTAAGAAAAACCTTTCCCTCCTGAGGAAGACAGTGCTTCACCAAGCCCTGCACTTGATGAACTGGGTGGCATGTGGGAGCTCCGCGGTAACCGAACTCCTCTGTTGGAAATAAACGCTGGTTTCCCCAAGGCTTGGGAACCCTGGAGCTCTGCTCTGAGCCATCCTCTTTCAGCTCTGCCAAAGCCAGACTCCAGAGAAGCAGCACATTGTCTGAGGCTCAGATCAAAGCCTAGCAAACCAAGCAAACCACAAATCACAGTGATGATCCTGAAATGGGCCTTAGATCATGCTGCTATACTCAGCACTGGCGATGCATTAATGAAGCCTTTCCACTCTGACTTGCAGTTTTCCCAGCCATGAGCTGTTCTGGCTGAATACCCTGGGCAGGGCCCAGCGGCCGCTGGTCGGGAGGGGTAGAGAGGGGGGCGGATCCCAACCAGGCTGCTGCCCTCTCAGTTAAGACTCTGGCCAGGCCAAAGGCTAGTCTCCGCTTGAGGGTGACACAGGAAGGCAGAACTGCAGGAAGAGAGGTTCCGGGTGGAGCCTGCAAAACGTGAAGCATGGTGTGGGTGGAGGCTTTGTCTAACTAGTCAAGGGTGGGACCGGGATGGGAAAGGGGTCTTAGTATCCTTCACGAAAGACACCGTCTCTCTGGGAATACTTTTAAAAGGGTTCCCTCTGCTCTCTGTGATGGGCGGGAAAAAGAGAGGGGGCTGCAGTCACAGGTCACCTCAAAGGAGAAAAGACTAGAGCTTTCCTCCCTTCTTTCCTCTCCTCCCTACCACCAATGACCCACCTCCCCGCCCCCTGTCCACATTAACCATGGGTGGAGTCTCTCTAACTTGGCCCTTCTCAGAACTGGCCTTCTTCACGGTCCCTTCCAGACTACTAGGCGCCTACGAACTGCAGTCCCCACCCTCCAACCCTAACACCGGCCCCGAACAGTGCGGGGTCGCCCCATCCCTCCGGCACGAGACTACAAAACCCGGAGAGCCGTGCGCGGCAGGCAAGGCCAACTCCCAGGCTTTCGCAGGGGTCCACTTGGGGGATGTAGTCCGACGATCGGGATACGCCTCTGCCTTGGAACGGCAATGAGGGGAGAGAGAGACTACGATCCCCACAGTGCTCCACGAGACGGGGAACGGGTGAGGCGGGCGCGGTGCCTTCCGGGGGCGGTAGTCATACGACAGCTCCAGCTAACTGAATGCAACGGCAGGGAGGAGCGTGGAAGACTACAAGTCCCATGGTGCATCGCAGGGAGGCGGTAGCCCAAGCCTTGCAGGCCCCGGCAGAATGACCAGGGCGATGGAAGGAAGTCGTGCTCGCTGCGGGCGTGGGGAATGGGCTTACCGGTGTGTCGAAGGAGAAGGCGCACTCGTCTTTGTGGACCCGGTCTCCAGCCTTAGGAACCCGGATCGTCGGTAATACTGACAGCAGCGCCTCCTCACTCAGCTCCGCCATGACACCGGCAGCAGCTCCTCCACACAGCGGCTCCCACCGTTCCCAGTCCCCCACCCCCTAGGCTTGCCGTCCAATGAGCGCTACTCGTTAGGTGCATGCGCTAAAGGGAGGACGCGCGAGAATGGCAGTTGGACGCAGCCTGCCTACTAGTGCTCCGCCCTCTGCCCTACTCTTGGCTAACGCCAATGAAAAGCCCTTCTAATGCAACCGATGGTCGAAAGAACCAATCCCACGCTCCCAAGGGCAGAGCGCATGTAGAGCAGCGAGGTGGGTCCCCGAGTTTTGGATGCTCGGACTCTGGGAGCCCTACAGTCCCTTCGCGTGCCTTCTATCAAAGAGCAGAAACTGACGGTTGTTTAAACCAATCAATCCCAGAAACTTTCCTGGGTCCTGTCCAATCGGAAAATAGAAGGCCAGTTGTACTCTTGGTATTTGAAAAGGGGCTGTCCAATGAGGCGGAGTTTGAGAGGGTTGGTGTCGAGTGATTGATAACTCCGTCAACCAATAAGCACTACTATCTCTGTCGCCTCAGAAAAACCTTCACAACTTCGTCTCCAGCTGGATCTGTACAAAATCGCGTAAAATTTCACGACTCTATTTTTTTAATAAGATCATTTGGCTTAGAAACTGAAGGTCGTAAAAGCGAAGACTGGCACTCCTCAAAGTCACGACGGACAACTCGGAACCCGTTGCGGGACAAAAGTCCCCTTATCGGGGCGGCGTCAGCCCTGGACAAGCCGAGCCGCTGCTCATTGGCCCAATGGTCCTCATGATAGACGTCGTCCCAGCCCAATGGCTTCCTGCACTGGAGGCGGGTCTCACAAGGAGGCCTATAGGACCCTGCGTCGGCTCCACCAATAGGGTCAAAGCAGGGGGCGTGGCGGGAGGTTTGAAACTCGGCGTCGGGAGTTGAGGCTCGAGCTGCTGTGCACCCAAGAGAGGAATCGGGGCCTGGTAAGTGATTTGAATTAATTACTGAGTAAGTTAGAGGGACCAGCGGGCCCGGAACGAGCTGGCCTGTCAGCTGCACCAGTCATTATCTCCACAGAGGCCTCTGGCCCAGCGGCCGGACGGCTCCTCGACTGGGAACCGGGAAGATCGGGTGGTCTGCAGTCAGAGGTCAGACGTGGTCGCGGCAATGGCTGAGACCTGAGTCATTTCTCACAGGCGTCCCCCCCTCGCCCCGGGCCGGGCTCTGCCCCACCTTATTCTCCCTGGTTGAGATGGGCTCAGCCAAGAGCTTCCCAGTCACTCCGGCGCGGCCTCCGCCGCACAACAAGCTTCTGGCCCGAGTGGCGGACCCCCGTTCACCTAGTGCCGGCATCCTGCGCACTCCCATCCAGGTACTCCGGGCCGGGGTGGGGGAGGCAGAGTCGGAATTCTTGGGCTTCTGCCTAACCTGATTCTGAGAAAGCCCTCACGCCCTCCTCCTCTTTCTATTTGAGGCCTTGTTTTCCACTTTCTTAATCCGGATGGGGTAGGCGGAATGCCTGAGGGGCGTTGGCAGTGCCTGCCTGGAATATCCACCTGGGGCTAGAGACCTGGGACGGAAGAAAGAGTCAGGGTCCAGACTTGTTGTAGCCTTTGGTTCTACCAGGTGGAGAGCTCTCCACAGCCAAACGTACCAGCAGGGGAGCCGCTGGAGGGTCCCAATCAGGCCCAAGACTCAGATCCCCGCTCTCCTACCCTTGGCATTGCACGGACACCTATGAAGACCAGCAGCGGAGGTAAATGGTGGGCCCAGGGAATTTTGGTAAGGCTGTCACCTAGCGTCCGTGGGTTAGGCCAATGAAGCCATCTTCTGAGAGCTCCTTCTTAAAGGAGCCTCCATCCTCTTGCTTTGAACCAATCTCACTCTTATCTCAACATTTCTCCTCTCACCTTGATTTCTCTCTTCCCAATCCCTCACCCACCAGGGCATGAATCCTAAAGTTCCTGTATCTTTTCCTCTTTGCTGAATGGTTTGTATCATTGCGTCACTATCTCACTTGACTTCTCCCCTCTAGAACCCCCAAGCCCACTGGTGAAACAGCTGAGTGAAGTATTTGAGACCGAAGCCCCCAGATCGAATCTGCCCCCAGAGCCTGTTCTGCCCTTAGAGGCAACTTCATCTTCTGAATTGGACTTGCCTCTGGGCACCCAGTTTTCCCTTGAAGACCAGATGCCACCCTGGAGGCAGACTGAGCTCCCCTCCAAGCAGGTGTTCTCCAAGGAGGAAGCAGGACAACCCTCAGAAACCCCCATGGCCAGCCAGGGCTCGGACAAGCCCTTGAGAGACCCTGAGACTCCCCGATCTTCAGGTACAGAATCTAAGGGCAAGGTAGAGGGAAGAGAAATCGGGATAATGTCCACAGATGAGTGTAGGAGGAATAAACTGTAAGCCCCTAATTTTGGCTTTTGGCTTTATCTCCTTACCCACCCTAGGTTCTAAGCACAATAGACGGAAAGCAAATGGCAAGGTACTAGGGAGATCTCCCCTCGCAATCCTACAGGATGACAACTCCCCTGGAACTCTGACACCACGACAGGTAACGGGAGACAGGGTGAAAACCGTTACTAAGAAATCCAGGGTAGAGGGTGGGAAGCCTTTTTACCCAATCTTCACTCTCTTGAACAACGTCCCTCCCTGCTCCAACTCACACACTGCTTTTGGCAGGGTAAGCGGCCTTCTCCCCTGAGTGACAATGCTAGGGAGCTAAAGGAAGGGGCCGTTCTGGGAACTGGACGACTTCTGAAAACTGGAGGCCGAGTGTGGGAGCAGGGCCAGGATCAGGACAAGGAAAATCAGCACTTTCCAAACTTGGTGGAGAACTAGGCCGAGTATGGCCCCAGCACTGGCTTCACCCGGGGCCTAGTGATGTTGCGTCCCCTCAACCCCATCTTTCCCTGGGAGACTGGAAAGGCTTGTTGTCTTCAACGCCCCTCTAAACTCCCAGCTCGGGGACTGAGCGCTTTCTTGGGCTGTCTTTGTGTCTCATGTGTTTCTTGTATATTAAAGAACATGGTTTTAAATGATGTTTTCAAGTGTTCTACCTAAACCTTGCAGTGGGCTTCTGTATGTAGAAAAGCAGCCTGAGGAACTTGGGTTCCCTGTCCTCCAAGCCTCTTTCACATGCTTCCCTTAAATCCTGGGGTTCCCCAGAGGTCTGTCCTTGGCGTTCTCTTGCTCTCCCTAGGTGTTCACTTCTAGGGCTTTAGCTATCATTCACTTATATTCTGGTAACTTCCAGGTCCCTCCAACTAGCCCTGACCTTTATCCAGCTGCCCTGTAGGCACTACAGAGTCAGTTTATCTAAAGTTGAATTTCTGCTCTTTCCCCCAGAGCTATTCCTCATCCCATATTCTCTATCCCTGATTATACCCCCTGTTATCCAAACCTGAACTTTGGGCATTATCTTGAATGCCTCCCTTTTAATATCCCATACCCTAGCACTAAATTCTGGTGATTCTATATCTTTCATCTCTTCCCCATCCCTTTCCTTGGCTCCCTGTCCTACCGCTCTTGATTTTTTTTTTTTTTTTTTTAAGATTTTATTTATTTGTCAGAGAGAGCAAGTGAGCACACAAGCTTGGGGAGCGGCAGGCAGAGAGAGAAGCAGGCTCCCGCTGAGCAAGGAGCCCAGTGCGGGACTCGATCCCAGGACCCTGGGATCATGACCCAAGCCGAAGGCAGTCGCTTAACCAACTGAGCCACCCAGGCGTCCCTCCCGCTCTTGATTTCTTGCCATCTCCCTCCTACCTTGTTTCCTTCCAGTCTCCCTTCCCACCATTTCATCAACCTACACCCGCCACTAGGGTGACTTTTCTGAGAAGCACAACTGACCATGTGACTCCGCCGCTCAGAACTCTTCAGTGGTTCCCCATTGCCCTTAGGATAAAGTCTCCGCTGGTATTCAAGGTCTTCTGTAATCTGATTCTTTCTCAACATAACCTTCCTATACATACGCATACATACGCAGATGGGGCATATGCCCTGCTGGCCACCTGGTGAATATCTTCTGATCTGTCTCAGGCCTTCTCCATGAGGCCTAGGCTTTCATCTCCACCCTACTTTCTGCCCCCAAGCTGTTTGGTACCCAGCCTTTATCACTGCACCTGTAATATCTTATTACTTAAGTTGGGCCTGTGTCTTTTTGGAATAGAAGTGGGGCAGAAGCCAAACATCACAGACATACCGGGGCACTACACTTTATTGCAGGTCCTTTAGGAGGGAAATAAAGAAGGTAGAAAGGGGAGAAATCATGAAGAAAGGGGCCAGGATCCTAGTGGTGCCAGAGCCATAGTCACAGGATGGAGCACCCTCTGCCACCCAGGTCTGGACAAAGGTAGTGGCTCTGGGGGAGGAATTCCAGGGCCTGGGGCCTCAGACTGGAAGCCTGGTAGGCCTGCCAAGGGCTAGGGGAGAGGTCAGTTGTCCTTGCCCAGTGAGGAAGAAGCTGCAGGACGATGGAGAGGGGAGGCTATGGAAGGAGATGGGGCAGTTCTTTGCCCCTTTGTCCCTGCTGCTGCCTCCCATAGGCATACCCCCGTTTTCCCTGCTGCCCTCAAAGGACAAAGCTGGGTGGGAGTGGCAGCTGGGGTGTAGAAGAAGAAAACCTTAAAAGAAATCTTAAAAGAAAATTGGGCAGGGGAGGGGGCAACTGAGTGTCTTCATGGCCTTTTACCTCCCCTCCTCCAGCCTCCTTAGTTCCAGACTTTGAGGAAGCTGTCCCAGGAGCCAGTGGCCACAGCCATCCCATCAGCTGTGACTCCCAGGCAGCTGACCCTGTTGTCATGGCCAGAAAGGATGCCTGAGGAAGAGAGAGAGGAGTCAGCCTGTTTGCCTGTGCTGCTTTGGCAGAGAGCGCATGTGCATCTGCAGGAATCCTAGGTTAGATTGGCCATGGACTCAGCCTCTGGTGGGGACTCAACGAGGATTACCCTAAGGGGCAGGGTTTCTCTTGAGGCCAATCTCTGTGGAGGGCGGGGTGGGGGGCCAGGAGGGACAGGAAAGGTCGGCAGTGTCGGTGTGCTATGAAAAAAGCAAGGAGCACCTTGATGGGCACTAGAAAATGGGGAGGTTGCTCTTTAGTCTCATTCCTGAGTCTCCAAATGAAGAGACTGAGGCCCCAAGAGAAGTGACTTGCCCAAGGGCTCTCAGATCCTAAGCAACAGAATTCAGATTTGGATCCTGACTCTCTGGCCAGTGTTATTTTCATTCAGCACCTGGCCTCTCCCAAGAGAAGCCACACTATCTGATTCAGCTTCAGACCAGGGTGGTTCTAGTTAAGTCCCAAGGTTGGGGTCACGCTAGATCTCCTTGATTCTGCTTATTACAGTTCCCTGAGATTGCCCTTTTCTCCAGTGGATGCCCCTGACACTTCAGAGGCCCTGGAAATCCAGAAGAGACTGGACATCCCCAGATCTCGGGTGACACCGGAGCTCCTTTGGCAGGAAGCAGCTAGAGCATTGGGCGGTGGAGAAGGGCCACTAGAGATGATGGTCTAGGTTGGGAACCAAGGAGGACTGGATTCTAGGGGCAGAGCTCAGAGTCATCCAGCAATTAGGAGCAGTAGAAAGAGGGTCCCCAAAAGGGGAGCTAGTAGGAAGGTCCTTCCAGCCGAGGTGGTGGCGGGGTAGGGGGGGGTGTTGCTGGCCGGCCCTTACCCACACGCTCGCACTTCATGGAGTCCCAGATGTTGCAATTGAAGTCGTCGTAGCCTGCAAAGAGCAGACGGCCGCTGAGGGAGAAGGCCACGGATGTGATACCACAGATGATGCTCTCATGGGAGTAGGCAGTCAGCTCCTGGTCTGCCCGCAGGTCAAACAGGCGGCAGGAGGCGTCGTCCGAGCCTGTGCAGATGGCCTCTCCGTTGGGGAAGAACTGAGAGTACAGGTGGCAAGGGGGTCAGGACTCAGCCCCGGGTGCCTGCTACCTCTCCCGCCCTCTCCCTGGCTCCCGCCCTGGTGGCTCCAGCACAAGCGCTTTCCCTCAGGCTCTCTGCCCGGCCCTTCCCCAGCACTCTTCATTTCTGACATTTATCCCAGCCAGCTGCATGCCAGTTGGCCACCCGACACCCATCGCTCGGCCCCTCGCCACCCCGCAAGCAGGCAGGCATTATTTGCACGCTGCGAGGCTGAGGGAGGGCGGGCGGCTTGCCCAGGGTCACATGGCTAGAAGGGCGGCGGCTGTCCCTGACTCCGGGCTCAGGGCTGGATCAGGATGTGGACGTGCAGGGCCAAGTGTATATGCGTGACCTGAATCTCATCACGAGGAAATGTCAGATAAACTCAAAGGGATGGAAAGCCTAAAGAAAATTGAGTGGCACTCTTCAAAGATGTCAAGGCTCCGAAAGACAAAGAAAGATAGAAAAAAGGTTCCAGTTTAAAGGAAACTGAAAAGATACGGCAAGGAAATGTGATGCATGTTCCTAGACAGAAAAAAAACACGGCTATTAAGGACATTCGTGAGATAATTGGTGAAATGTGAATATAGGCTATAGACTATATTGTGTCATTGTTCAATCTGATTTTAAGAATTATACTGTGACTACGTTAGAGAATGGCCTTGTTTTTAAGAAATACACACTGAAGTATTTAAGGGGTAAAGAGGCATGATATCTGCAACTTACTCTCCAAAGAGGAAAAGAAAAGGTAATAAAACATATCTATGTCCACATCTAGGTGTATGTGTCTGTCTTTCCATCCGTCCCTCCCTCCATCTACAGAGAGAGAATGCTAAAGCAAACGTGGTAAAAACGTCAGCAGTGAATATGGGCGAAGGGTAGATGGAAGCTGATTGGGTTACTCTCGCAGCCTTTCTGTAAGGTGAAATCATTCCAACCAGGAAAGTTACAAAGAGGGGGTGAGGGAGCTGGGGAAGGGATGAAGGATGGGGGGGCTGGTGAGGAGGTCCCGGGAGTTGGGGCGCAGAGGGGGGCTCACGCAGATAGCGTTGATGTCCGACTCGTGGCCAGTGAAAGTCTGCCGACAGGTTCCCTCCCGCACGTCCCAGAGCTTAGCGCTGGCGTCACAAGCGCCCGAAATGAAGAGTTTGAAGTCAGGAGAGACGGCCAGACTCATGCAGTCCCCTGTGTGCCCCACAAACACGGTCTTCTGCTGCCCAGTCTCGATATCCCACAGAGCACTGCCGGGAGGAGGGGCGGCTGTCACCCTGTCACGGAAAGCCCAGGACAGAGCCACGCCCGAGCCCCGGCACCCACAGGGTTCAGTCCTCACCAAGTGGTGTCCCCGGAGCTGGTCACGATGTTGTTGTCATCCAGGAAGCGGCAGCAGGAGAGATAACCTGGGGGTGGGTGAGGACAGCGGCCGGGCTGCAGGGCCACATCCCTGGGCCTCTCACAACAGGGACGGGAAGAGAGGGTCTCTCACTCACCTGTGTGAGCAGAGAGCTCCCGGCTGACCTTGACATTGCCCTCACGGGACTTGAGGCTGTAGATGGAGCACATGTTGTCCAGCCCCCCACATGCCACAAAGTTCCCTGATGGGGCATAGGCACACGTCATGACCCAGGAGGAGCGCAGCGGGATGGCGTGCACCTGCAGGAGGGTGGGAGGCAGGACCTGAGCTGAGCTCCCAGGTGGGGAGGGCATTGGAGGGGAGGCACAAAGCCCCCAAGGAATCACAGGGTGATGGGAGGGCTGGGGAGGCAGCTACCTTATTGGTGGTATAGGTGTCCCAAACGATCAGCTTCCCGTCTTGCGAGGCACTTACCAGCAGCCTGGGGAGAGGGCACGCCACGTCACCCAAGCCTCTCCTTCCTGCCTGTCCCCCCACCCCTGGGTGCCCCTCAAGCCTCACTTGGAGTCGGTGGCCCAGTGCATGGCATAGATCTTGGCCAGGTGTCCCCTTAACGTCCGCCGCGTCCGCATCTGGACTCTTCCCACGACCTCGAGGCCCGACACCAGCTGCAGAAAAGGGGGCACTAGAAATCAGGGTGAGTAGGGTACATGCCTAGATGTCAGCATCACAGCCACCGATCTGGACCAGTTTCTGTTCTGTGCCAGGCTCTGGGGTCAGGCTCCCAGCCTTAGAGAAATAAGTCCCTGCCCTGCGGCGGCTTAAACTGAGGTGGGAGAGACCGGGCATGGCCAGTGGCACGTTGCCAAGTGTTGAACAAGCATCTCTCCAGCGCGGGCTAGCGGCGGAGGTGGGGGCGGGAGAGTGATGTCCATCGTGGAAATACTCCCACCTTGACCAATTTCAAGCTGCCAGTGTGAAGTCACTGAACACGGACTTGGGAAGAGAGGGGCACATCCGCTGTCCTGAGCCGCTAGGAGCCCGGCCCCCCACGACACTGCCGCATGTCTGTCTCTTCCACTGGCTACCCGGGGCAGCCCCGTGACCCTGAACTGCACCTCCTGAAATTTGCGGTCCTATGTCCCTTACACTCCATCCAGCCTCTCGATTTTGGCTGGGGCTCAAGTCAATGGCCTTGACTTGTCATTTACTTGCTTTGTTGTCCTGGGCAAGTTGCTTACCCTCTCTGAGCCTGTTTGCTCATCTGTAAAACAAGGTTTATAGCATCAACTTCTGGGGTTGTTGTGAAAATTAAATGAAATTATGTATTGAAGCAGCTTAGCCCAGTGTTGGGCTCACGGCAAGCGTTCAATGTTCACTCTAACTATTAACGTATTTAATCCAACATAAGATGACACCAACTCTATGAAGCACCATGCTTTTAAGTATCACTGAGAAAGAAAAAAAAATGCTGCCAATTATAATTGTAAGGCATCGTCTATTTTGGGCTGCATCTTGATCTCAGAGATGTCAAAATGTGAAAAGATGTGACTTTAGAATTGATGACATACACTATTAGAAAACTAGAAACTGCTCTATAAGGGCTTTATGATTTACAAAGTGCCATCCCTCTTCATCCTCGCCACACCATGAGGGGGTATAACCGTTCTCACTTTACGGTTGAGGACTGAGACAGCATCTGCATCGTTAGCTTCCAATAAGGTGCCTGGCCCACAGCAGATCTCACTAAATGTTTGTTGAATGAATTAATTAATGCCGTTCCTCATTCCAAGGACATGCTGTACTAAAGCTCAGGCGCCAGGCTCTTGCTGGTCCGGGAGCTCCCCTCCCCTCCACTCCCCTCCACTCCCCTCTGGCCCTGCCTCGGCGGGGGGGGGGGGGGGGGGGGACAGGAGGTCTCACCTCTGCCAGAGTAATGTCCGCACAGGCTTTCCGGGCATCCTGGGGGGGCAAAGCAGTCATCAGGGGGTCATAAGGGCAAGGTGGGGGTAGTGGGTGCATGGGCCTCTGAGGTAGGTGGGCTTGGGGCTCTAGGGTTTGGGGGGCACCTCAAATATGAGATCCAAGTTCAGGAAGTCTCTGGTCCCTGCCAGGTCAGGGGTCTCTAAGGTTTCACTCAAGAGCAAAGCCGGCCTCCTTCCTGCCCCCACCCACCACCCTGGTCCACACTCCCTCATGTCCTGGGTTCCATGTTTTCTGGGGTCCCCCAGTGGGAGAGTTGTGAGGTTACTGCAATCTGCTTCTTGAGCTGCTCTGCTTCCTGCCGCAGCTGCTCCATCTCCCCCATGGCTGACAGGTTGAGGGGTAGTTCCGGCTCCTGTCAGGAACATGGGGTAGGTGTAGGGGGTCCCCACCAGGCCATGTTCCTGTCCCTCACACCCGCACCAGACTCCAGGCCTGCAGCCCACTACAAGAAGTAGAGAGATGCCTGGGGGAGGGGGCCCGCACCAGCTCCCCACGAGCCCCTCCACGTGCGGAGTCCTGTGCGCCAAGCCCGGCCCTGCCCGAGCCCTCCCTGCAGCCCCGGCCCCGGGCAGCAGAGCCACGCCAGCTCCCTCTTACTTGGACTCTGACTGGACCTCTCCTGGGTTTCCAGCTCCGGTGCCCAGGCGCCTCTCTACTCCCTCAGCTGCGACGCCAGCCCGTCACCTGCCCCGGCTCTGCTGCCAGAGGAGCTGGCCTGGCCTGGCCCCAGCTCCGGGGGGGTTGGGGGGGGCACTGACAGAGAAGGTAGGGCCAACGACGACAACATCAGGCAAATGAAATCAGCTGGCAACGGCGGGGGCCGAGGCAGGGAGCGAGAGAGGGCAGGAAGGGAGGTGTGTGGCTTCCAGACAGACTTGGGCCCAGCCCGGGGCGGTGGGGGGGGGCTTAGGTGGGAGCAAGAGTTTGGGGCTATAGAGAGGAGCAGCCCCCCACAAGCCCCGGGGGGAGGAGGGGTGGAAGGGGGTGCTTCCCTGGCCAGTCTCCCTGTAGGCAGAGATAAGAGCATCAGGCCCCTTGGGATTAGAGCAAAGCTGTGAGGATTAAAGGTTGGGGTTTGGGAGGGGTACAGAAGAGAAGCAACCACAGCCCAGTGCCCCCACCCCCCGCCCCAGCCCCCACCAATGCTGATGATCGTGGCAGTCAGGGCGTGCCTAGCAACCAGCCCAGGAGCCAGAATATGAGGGTGAGAGGTAGCCCATTATCAACACCCAAGATTTCGTCCCTAAGTTCAGGGTTGCGGGGAAGGAGGTTCAGGTGAATATGGGGAGGGTACAGGCAGGAGCTGAGATTAGATGGGACTGATCTGGATAATCCTTCTTCTCAACAAACCCCAACCAGCTGCCCCTGGGTCTGATCTGGGGGCGGGGAAGGTACAGGGGATCCAGAGAAAAAGACTGGACAGGGTGGCCCCTGCTTTGAGTGGACAAAGGGTGGGAAGTGGGGCTCAACCCCGACCTGGCTTCCATCTGGGATTTGGCCCACTCCTTGCCCCCATGACTCACAGGGTCCTGCTGGGGTTGTGAAGGCTGGAACCCGAGGGATCAGGCGGCCCTACGTCTTGGCCAAGCTGGGAGAGGGAAGACGGGGCTTAGAGTTGGAGGCCCAGGGAGCAGCTGTCTGGGTCTGGGTCCATTTGCATATGGGGAGCAGGTGGCTGGGAGTTCCCTGACAAATCACAGGCTTTGAGCGGCCCCGCCTCTGGGAGGCCCAAAGACACCTGTCTCCTCCCAGGCCAGCCACAGGCACTGCCCACTGCAGACACCACAGAAACCGTGATACCCTTGTCTGGGCCCTTGACTGAGGGATCTTCAGTTCTTTATTACAGGCTGGGACAGGGCACTGGGGTTAGCCTCCCTCTCATCCTCCACACGTGAAGCAGTCAGGCCCTCTCCCCTGCCATTTCTTTCCAGGGAGGCATCGTGTCCTCGGTCTGTCCTCGGGCTGGAGGTCCATCAGCCAGGCCTGGTGAGCTCTAGGCTAGTCTGTGCAGTGTCCTCTGAGTCCAGGGCTGGACAGCCCTTGTGGTCCCCAAGGTAGTAGGGGTGCAGGGACAGACAGCTCACTGTTCTGCTCCCAGCACATGGGGGTTTCCTGTGGGTCCTGGCATCAAGGCGGCCCTTCACAAGTCAAGGGGCCACATCCCCAAGGAGCTGGCTCAGTCCCTCACAGTTCCTCTCGGAGCCGAGGCGGTTTCCCAGCCTTGTCCTGGACCCGCGGAAGCCTGCGGCTGGGGGGTTCCGGGGAAGGGTCTTTGCTGGGCATTTCTTCCTCCTCCTCCTCCTCCTCCTCCGGCTCCTTCAGCAGCTCTTTGGCTTCTGTCCACTCCTGGGGAGTAGAGAGGAGAGTCTGGCCCAACCTCCTGCATCACCTTGCCCCCAAGGACCCTCCCTGGGACGTCTCGGCCCCTGCCCCTCATCCTTCACACACCAGGAGAGACAGCCCTTCCTACTCCAGCTGCTGCTCACCTGCTCCCTGTGCTCAGGCGCCCACGTGTGCCACAGTGCCAGGGCGCAGCGCCGTCCCCGCGTCACGGCCCACACACCGTGGGGGTTCTCCCCACCGGAGCTGAAGGCCACGAGGCGTCCACAGCGAGGACGAACCTGAGCCTGAGGGGTGAGGGCAGGTTCAGCGCCACAGATGGGTGCTCTCAGAGCACTTGGCCCTGACTCCCTACGGCAGGTGGCAGGCCGGGGCGCAAAGAGTTCAGCTCTCCTGCCCCTCACTTCCCATTCCTTAATTCAGGGACCATCCTGGGGGGAAATGGGAAGTTGGCCTCAACTTGGGGAGCACAAATGCCAGACTGAGGCTAGAGGAGTCAGAGCCAAAGGAAAGGGGGCTCCGTGGAGGGCCTCCCCACCCCCTGCCCAGGCCTTGACTTTTCCTGCTCAACCTTTGAATCCCAGGTGTGAAGCAATCGGAGGGTATGAATGCAGTACCAGACTCTGGGTACTGGGGATAAGGATCTTGGGGATATTTTTCTACCTCAGAGAGGCCATGCATCATCGGTAGCTGGTGGCAGTTAGCAGAGAAGGAGGTAACTGGGTAAGACAGAGCAGCAGATGACGCAAAATCACTGTCCCTCTCCTTCTGCCCAATTCCAGCCCCTGGTTTCTACCTGGACTAGGGCCTTGGGGACCTGCGCTTTATCCACCCTCCTTGAGGGAGTGAGGCAAACACTGAAGGCAGGGTTTGGAAGGGCCACAAGAGATCTCCCGGGGAGGTGTAATCAACCTTTACTAGAACCCCCGAAACCCAGACACATGGTAGAGAGGGCAGGGGAAGCCAGAAAGGAAAGAAAGGGTTAAGGGGGCCCCAGCCATTTCCCTGCATTTGTCTCTGGGAAGCTCCTGTTTTGAATTCAGAGCCCACAGCTGGGGTCCCCGCCACACCCCCACGCCCCCCACCCGGCTTACTGTGACCGTGAGCGCATTGGGCTCTGTGAAGAACAGGTCCCCACCGCGGAAGTCTTCGTTGAGGTAGAGAAGCCCACTGCAAAGGGAGGAAGGCGCAGGCAGTGAGACCGCAACCCAGGCCCACCCACCTGACCCCTGGGGGGGCTGCCCACCTGTAGTCTCGATAGGTGTAGGCTGGGGGCTCCCGCCAGCACTCCCCGGTGTCGGGGTCCAGGACACAATTGTCTGCATGCACCGGGTGACTCAGGTCCATGCGCTGGTCTTGCTCTCCTGGGAAGCATAGGGGCCTGGTGCATGACCCTGTGCCCATCCACTGCAGCCCACACTCCCCCTGCAGCTTCGGGGAATCACGGCTGGACAGAGGAGCCAAGCCCTCACCCGGGCAGGGGAGTCAGAAAGCCCACCAGGTTTGGGGATGCGGAGGGGGTGCAGTGCCCAACAGAGGCCCGGGGTTGGGGAGGAACAGCTAGGCTCCCTGGTGGTTACCTTCTATGGCACTCCGGCACACCAGGTGGGTGAAGGAAAGATGCAGGGGCCGCTCCGGGGAGAAGTAGGCCTGTGTCAAGGTCCTCACGCGCTCACTCACCTCCAGAAGCAGCTTAGCCCCCTGACTGCCCACGGCCCCAGCCTGAGCCAGCTGCAAGCAGGGAAAGGAAGGGTGGGAAAGGAGGGGGCAACAGAAGGGTGGCCCTGCCCCAGCCCCTGCCCTACTTCCATTGCTCTCCACCCATGGATTTGGTCTCAGCAGCCAGCTCTGTCCATCAGCCCAAACTGCTCCTTCCATTGGCTCCGTGACCATCACCCAGGTCCCGAGGTCTCAGAACACTTCCCCTCCCACTGCCCTCAACTCTAGGCAGGGGACTCAGGTGCTCTCAGTCCACGGGAGAGGCCCAGGCGCGGGCACCCAGCCTCCTGCGTACCCTCTTCTCTGGTTCTGGGCATCAGACCAGAGCATGGGAGCCTCCTCTTACCTGTGCAGCCTTGAGCACTGTGAGCCCCTCGAAGCGCTCATGGGGGGTGTGAGGGGAGCGGCGGCCACGATAGCCAGACCTGGCTCCGGCCTCAGTGGCGTCCTATGGAGGGAGAGAGGTGGCTGGGGAATCTCACTCCCCGGGTCCCAGCCATCCCCCACCTCACTGCCCACAGGGCTGCAAGACCTTCCTCCAATCCTCCCACTCCCCGGAAGAGGCTAGAAGCCCCCAGGGTTCCATGCTGGCTCCCTTCCCTGAGCTGCTGCCCCTTCCCACAGAACGACTATCTTCAGGTCTACATTGTCACTCTCTGGTAAAGATCTGGAATCCCACTGGCTGAGGGGGCTGTGCCCAGAGCTCTGGAGAGCTTCCTAGAGTGGGGAAAGGGCCTCTGAGAGGGTAAGGGCCGTTGGGGAAAGGGGGCAGGAAGGGCTTGATCATTCGTTCCTGATGAGCCAAGGATAGAGGAGTCTCTCCAGAAACAGGGCGCTAGCAGGAAGTTTGAGAGTCAGCTGGGTCCCGGCTGGCTCGACATGGGGAGAGAGCCGAGGTGCCTCTCTCTGACACCCTTGACACACTCTTGGAGAATGTGACAACCCTTGATGCTGAGCCCCAACTACCCAACCACCTCCACGAGTCTCATTACCTGGGGGTCTCCTGGTATTTGGATGTCCCTTTCCTGACACCTATTCTTTTGTCTGCTTTCTGCAACCCCAACCCAGTTACCCTGTGTATAAACCCTATCTCTGAGAGACCACCTACTCACCCAAGCCATCTAACCTTCCATGCTTGTATTTATTTATTCAACAAATCTGTACTGAGCACTTCCTATATTCTAGGCACTGAGGATACAACCATGAACATGAAAAGGTCCCTGCTCTCATGTGGTTTATATTTTGAGTAAACAAACAAACAAACAAACAAACCAGATCGATTCAGATGGGGATAAAGGGTATTTAAAAAATTAAAATAGGGCTACAACCTTGAGAGTGCCCAGGCAGTGGTTAGGGGACAACTAATTGATGAGTGAAGTGACATCTAAATTGAAAGCAAATGATATAAAGAAGCCACTTGAATATGTGAGAGGAAAAAATGTTCCAGGCAGCAGAAACCACAGTGCAAAGGTCCTGAGGCCAGAATGAATCCAGTGCGATGGAGGAACAGAAAGAAGGGCTGATACTTGGGAGTTATCCCTGACTCCATCCTTTCATCCATTGTCTCCCACATAGATTTAGTGCTGAACTTCTCTATCTTTGACTTTCTAAATATTTCTCATCTGTCCGCCTCTCTTCATTTCCTTGAAATGAGGACCTAACCTAAGGCAGTAGCACTCCGGCATCACCCCAGAAGCCTCCCCTCCTTGCTTTCCTCTCCCAGTGCATTTCCACAGTGCCTCTAGAGGGATCTACCGGTTCTGCAGGATGGTGACTCCAGACCCTGCTCCTGCTAATGCATGGGGACTTAAAACCTAACCCCTCCTTAAATTCTCCGATAAGTTGTCCACGGTCCACAAACTCTTTGGCAGGGGACAGAAGGCCCTTCGCCATCTCGCCCGTGCCTCCACCTCCGGCTTCTCTCCCCTCTACCTCCTCTGGATAACATACAGCCGGATGACACAGCGCCAGCTAATCGTGAGGGCTTTTTATATTCTTCCAACAGCCTTACCAAGTACTACCAGGGTCCTCACAACAACCCTAAAAGAACCCACTGTATTTAGCCCCATTTTATAGATGAAGAAACAAGGCTCAGAGACATTAAAATACATTGCACGTGGGGCGCCTGGGTGGCTCAGATCGTTAAGCGTCTGCCTTCGGCTCAGGTCATGATCCCAGGGTTCTGGGATCAAGCCCCACATCGGGCTCCTGGCTCAGCGAGGAGCCTGCTTCTCCCTCTCCCTCTGCCTCTCTCCCTGCTCATGCTTTCTCCCTCTCTCTCTCTGTATCTCTGTGTCTCAAATGAATAAATAAAATCTTAAAAAAAATAAAATAAAATAAAATACATTGCATGAGGTCACCCAGCTAACCACTGTTGGGGCTGGCCCAAGCCCTTAGCTCCTGTATTCTACTGCAGTTGTCAGAGACCCCCCCCCCCCATTCTTCTTCCTTACGGCCTGGCTCTCCTCCCCTTCTCTGCCTTGTTAACTCATCCTTAAGACTGAGCTCAAGGGGCGCCTGGGTGGCTCAGGCGGTTAAGCATCTGCCTTGGGCTCAGGTCATGATCCTGGGGTCCTGGAATCACGTCTTGGGATCAAGTGCCTGTGGCCA